CTGGGAGTTGAAGTCCACTCATCTTAAAGTGGCCAAGTTTGGACAACACTGGTCTAAGGAGCGGCAGAGCAGCCATCTGTTGGGGAAGCTTTAATTCCTGCATGGAGCAGACTTGAGGACCTCAACCACCCCTTCCAACTCTCTGACCTCTGATTCTACGAATAGCTTTGAAACCAGCAGTTGGCAATCCATTTGAGCTGGCAGACAAGCTTGGAGTTTTGAGAACATGCAGTAGGTGCTTTTAGCCAGGATTCCCTTAATCAATTTAGTTGTGGAAATGAAAATGTCATGCAAATACTCTGAGGAGGAAGAGTCAGAAATCTACCCCCAAATCAGCTTCTCAGGATTGCTTTCCTGAGCAATTTTAACAGTTTAACCCCTTCCTCACTGCTTTCCTGGTCTGACCAGGATTTTTCTTGAATGCATTCAAGGCAAAGCATTTTCCTCCTTGTATGTGATCTGGGAACTGATATCCTCTTTCCTTTCCAGGAGCAACAGTATTTCGAGAGCCAACAATTCTCTGCCTGTGCCAGCCTATTGCAAACAGAGATAAATTATTTCAAATATAAAACCCAAACCAAGACCCCGAGTGAAACTTCCCCGCGCATGAAGAGATTGACAGAGGCGGCTGTAGTTGTGTTAGGAGTCTTAGCAAGTGCTGCTGTGATTCTGCTTCCCATTTTGCTAAGGATGTTATAAACAAATGGGAGGAGAGTCTCACCATCATTTTCTTGTTTTCCTTTGAGAATTTGCTTAGCACAATCATCTTTGTGGTGCTAAGTAGCACATTTCTGCAGCATTTCACATCCCTCTGAACCAGATCCCTCTGAACCAATATACTCTTAACATATGACAAGTTTTGAAGTAGGGTAACAACTAGTTACTAGTGAAAGAGTAACTAGTTACATAGATTTTCAGTGCTGGGCAGTGGATTCCAAGCATTATTGCTTGCTTCTTCCCCATTGTCCGCCTATTAATTAACATCTTATTTAATGCAGTCTTGTGGAAAAGTTGAACATTTCTACTCTTTCTGTCCTTCTGTTTGAGCTTAATAAAGATATTACCCAAGTATGGATTTTGTTTGTTTTCATTATGGACCAGCATAGCTGTTTGTAATCCATTGCATTTCTTGCCAGAAAATGTTCGGACTTTCTGGGTTGGGTCATGTTGATAATAGGACCTCTTCACGCCTCAGTTCAGGTTACCACTAAGTGCAAACCAAAAACCTGCTTCCAGTCCTGATTCTCTGAAATGTATTCCTCCCTCATGCACACATGTTGCCTTTTCAGCGTGTGTAGTAAACATTCCAAAAAGTATTACACAAAGTTGATCTTCGAACACTATTCTATGTTCTAATAATGAAACAAAATCAGGAAAACACCACAAACACTACGGCTAGGCATAAGTAATTAGACTTATATTATTCCAGAGTTGAGTTCTTTGAAGATTCCATTCCTCACAAGCAAAAGAAAAGCCATTTCAACAGAATGAGGCATTCTTAACAGGAAAGTAGGCTGGTGGTCCTCAGTTACTTGCAGCAAATCTGGAATGTGTCTCATTAGACCTCATCCAAGCAGTTCCAATTTAGTTCAGGTGAAGTCACATTCAAGCGCCTCTTGATTCCTGATGGCTGCATCCAGTTTTCCTGCCGACACTGCAGAAATGGTTTGCCATAGCCTTCTTCCACAATGTTTTAGTGATTTCCCAGTCTAGTTTACAGCCCTGAGATGTCCTGGTGGCATCACATCCTATATCAACTATTAAGGTCTGTGCGATGCTTCAGAACAGATACTTTGGAATGAGGAAGAGGGTGAACACACAGCCTCTCTGTAACTCTTTAAAACAGCCATATCAGCTGCTGCAGAAACTGCCTCCTGGAAAAAGACGCAGTTGTTTTAATGAGTGGCAGGCAGGTGCTGCATTTGCACTCGTATATTCTGAAGCACCTCTTCCAAAGCATTTCTGCAGCATTTCACATCCCTCTGAACCAGATCTAGCCCTGTTTAGCTTTCTCAAGTCCAGCTGAGGTCAATTAGGTGCTACAGCAAACCCACAACTGGACTTTTCAGAGATATTTTAACAGGAAAAGAAAGGGAATGGAGTGCAAACAAGCTGTGCACTAGCCCAATCTAGAAAACACTTAAAAAGTATAGGTCTACTGAGCTGACGTTTATCCACAATGCTTTAATTTGGAAAATTAAACTTAATTTGAACAATAGGTTGGATTTGACATCCTGGCGATGAAATGGTAGTTTACTTGCATGCTAGTAAAGAGTTAACCAGCCAAGCCCAGGCAGAACTTGGAAAGAAATAGAGGAGGAAGAATGAGGGAAGTTGACCAAAGGACAGAAGACTATAAATGGGAAAGACAGGAACTACCCAACATCTTGGTCATCCTGCAGATGCCCCTGGGATTCATTTATCCTGATTTTTTAAAAATAGCCTAGATACTTTTAGCAAATTCTCTCACTTGGAAATTAAAAGCCTTCTCTTACAGTCCCTTGCATGATCTCCTGTTCTGAGCCCTTCCTGTGGCTGTGGCTGCTGCTGTTGATGAGATGATGACAGTGTGCCCACCGGATGGGAGCACCCTCACCATTGCGTATCATGGATCACTGCCTTGTCGTGGCGAAGGGGCTCGCGTAACTCAGTGAAGCCATGAGCTATACCGTGCAGGGCCACC